CTCTCTCTCTCTCTCTCTCTCTCTCTCTCTCTCTCTCTCTCTCTCTCTCTCTCTCTCTCTCTCTTCTGTCCTATTACTTTTCTTCCAATAATCCAATGTGATCGTTCTTCGAAATCCAACGAAGTGTTGCATTATTTCTCGAACACTTCTCGTATTTTCTAATACACGTTAATTAAGAGTACCCCCAAGGAGGGCCGTAGTTCCAAAAAGAAAACGCAAGAATGACACACGGCTTATAGTCTCGAGCGTAATAACTAGAATGTTTTTCTTGTGTGATAAACAATCGTACAATCGGACACTCTTTACCGTTTAAACATCGATAATTGAATAATACAGCGAACGACTCCGAGAAAAAAACAAGTTGCAGTTGAAGATATTGTTAATATTGTAGGTTTAACTCTTTGCACACGACAATTTTATATTCCTTTCACATTTTGCACATTCCTATTCTTGTTAATTAAAGAAAACAATCTTGAAGAATCCAAAAAGAAATTTAAAAAAATTTTGGTCGACGAAAAAATGACAAGTTTCTTTTTTCTCTCTTTTTATATATATAATTAAATGTTTCGCGAAACGAATTTACATAATAAATTTATTATAATTGTATATATTTAAATTTTTCGTAAATTCTAATTTAAAAAATTTATAAATTCTAATCTCATAATGTATTTCTTCGATTTAACGTGTCTTTGATCCATCCTTTCGAGTGCAAAGAGTTAAGTCAGTTTTCTGTCGAGAATAACTTGTCACATACTTTAGTCAACATAAGAAAGAGGGAGAACTGATCAACATTAAGCAATATATATACGAAAATTGAAATAGATACGAGTATGTAATTGAAAGCATGAATGGTAAAGGGCGTCAATTATATATAAAACGCGATCGATCGTTTGATCAGATCGGAAAATATCTTAGTCCCTTCCACGAGGAAATTATTTGTGAATTGTACCCGAATTGATTTATATATTGTTTACAAATATATGTTGTACAGACTATCCCAAGTTCACTGTTTTTTCCTTTAATGATATTCGATAATGTATTTCTTAAAAAAAAAAAATTTTGGTTTTTCTTTGAACAAAAATTTAATGAGAACACCATCTACCCTTCTAATTTTTTTCATTTTCAATATCATGCCTTGTTGCATGCGTTGTTTATTAAAGAGAAAAGTCTGAACTCTCAGATTGTACCATTAGAAGAATCAATTTTAGGAGAACTAATTCTTTTGCATGCTACATTTTTACGTGCTTTTTATAAAAAAAAAAAAAAAAGAAAGAAAAGAAAGAAAGAAAGAAAGAAAACAAGAAAAAGAGAGGCGCAGTGAATTTGGAACAGCTTTGTATATAACATTATTAATAATTGTCTCAGCGTTATAGAGTAACTTGGAAGGGAAACATTCCCATAACATGTGTATATAGATTTTCTTGGTCCTACAAAAAAAAGAGACGAAATATGCTTTTTATACAAATATCATTCACTGAGAATTCCGCTTTTGTTAATTTACGAGAGACTCGGGATGATAAGCGTTTTTATCATCCAATTTTTCAAATAACATAGTCGAACTGAATAAACTTTATCTAACATCAAATTAAAATGATCGACTTATCTCTCTGTCAGTTAGTAAATTTATATGATCAAATCTTTACAGGTAAAAATCTCTGACTTATGTCATTTTTTATCATGTTTTTATTTTATAGAGACACAATTAGAACGTAAGAATTATTTTTCCAATTAATATAAACGTTTGTTTAAGCTACATATAATTTTCTGTGACTAAATAATTGATCTTAAAGTAAGTTTCTATTTTAATTTCCATTTCGATCGCCTTCTACACAATTGCGTAAATGTGTTATTATAATAGCTTTAAAGTATAATTTATTATCGTTACTTATTATTTGCTGTTTAGTAAATTATCGTAATTAATTCCTTTAATTTCTTTAATTCCTCGAATTAAAAAAGTCACTATTTATTAAATGAATAGTAACATTTTTAATGAGAGAATATGCAACATATTTAATGAGAGAATATGCGTTTGAAAAACGTAATTCGCGTGCAAAAACGAAGCTTTATCTGCGAGGGCTTTATGTTTCACGAAATGAGGAAAAAAGAAAGATTATATGATCGAAAATCGAAAAGCTTCTATTCAAATCTGCATTACTGCATCCCTGCAAAAAGTAGACGAATGAAATTGATGCGAATTCAGCCTGCAAAAGCGAATTCCTGATTAATCAGAAATCAATTAATTAAAAGTATTCGGATCTAAATTAAATTGCTGCTTGTTTCTTCTATTCTTAAATTATTAAATATTATTTTGCATTATTTGTAAGCAAATCAAATTTATAACAATGTCTCTCATTACTTTTTATGAGATATAAAGCAAATAGCAATATAATCAAGTACGTAAAACGCAAAGAAGTCCATTGTATCTTAGTTCCTATTAATTATTTAAAAAATTTATTGCAGTAATATAGTTAAACAAAGTCGAGCATAGAACGAATTTTTTTCTTCTTCTGTAAACAAATTTTGAAATATCTTTTTCTTATAAGGCTCAAAAATATGACAAGTTTAATTTACATCGCAGAAAAGGCCATTTTCAAACGAATAATTTTGCATCTCAAGGAAATCGCAATTCCGCAGAATGAATTCTTATCAATATTTTATTTTTACTTCTTTAATTAACTATTTTCTTACAGGAACTGCACTAGATATACGTATTTCTATTCTAGCTGTATCTCTCTCGATGAAGTTTTATTCAATATATACATATAATAAACGTCAAAAAATTGCCTGTTCATAGTATCTCTCAAGTGGCCATTGTGTCTCCGTATCAGAATCAACGGCAGCTTTCTGCGGAAGGTAACTTTGTAAAAAAAAAAAAAAAGAAAATATAATCTAGGTCGAACTAGACTCTTCTCGTTGATATCTTCAAGCTTATAGAACTGTTTCTTAGGATTTTCAATAAATTTAGTAAGATAGAATAAAATCCGAAGGAATTTCATATGACAAATTCATTTGGGTTGAATCTTTTTATTTTCCGTGTCCTATTTCCAATGTTTATCCTTTGAAAAAAACACTATTGAAAAGCATTCCTTGTTTATCAGTTTACAATTTAATTATAATTAAAAAGTGGAATACAGAAATCTGCGATAGGAAAAATAATGGATGATTTTTAAAAAACAAAGCGATTTTCATCTTTTTTTTATCTGTGATAATAGAACGATATTTATATATTATTAGTTATACTATTATTTTTAACAAAGCTGCATATTTCTATTCAATTTCTATCTAGAGAGAAGATCACATTATAATGACGACTCCACATATAGATATCAATTTTATACAAGTTTTTGTCCCAAAATATTACTTTTAACTAATTCCAAATATTAAAATATATATAAAAAGATATATAACATTTAACTTTTAACCTATCTTTATTTATTAATTTAAAATGAAATATTAATAAATTCATTTCAAATTCTAATTTTTAATTTATAATAAATGTAATGAATATCAATATAATTACATTTATTAAATTTTTTAAATTAATTTTGATAAGATAAAAATAAAGATTAAACATAAATTATACTTCTCTTAAATATTCTATTTTTTGTAATATGAAAAAAAAATAAAACATATTTTTTTTAAATTTTATTATATAAAAAGGTATAGAACACAATATTTTTAAATATAGTATTTATGAAATATTTTACATTTTCTATATTTATATTTTATATAATTATAAGAGTTTTTAAAAATTAATTGAAAGGTTGAAGTGTTCTGTGCATGTGTATGTTTCTCAATTTTATATAATCAGAGAACTAGAGTCAAATCATTTCGAAATAGCTACAGAAAATATTGTTAAAGATATTATATTGTTATTATTAGATATTTTTTATCACTTATATTAATTATTGCAAATCGAATTTTGAATTTTATTTAGATTTCACGTATAAACTGTGAAAAAGGTATATAAAATAACATGAACAACAAAATATGTTTACATATCTATTACAAATCGTACAAATGTTACACTTATTCATGTAATTTTACATACTTTTTTTACAGTATATATCTATTATGATACAAAGCTTAGAGTTGATGTTATTATACTACAAAGAAAAAAAAATTGACAAGTGTTATTTCTCATTTTACATTTATCGATTTAGATTCAGTTCACAAGAACAACTAAACTGTTAAGAAATAAAATGATAAATGTAAGAAATGCAAAATTCATTAAGGATGCAAAATAAGATTTTAAAATAGAATAAGAAAATATTTACAATGCTTTCCACCAGTTCTTACCCTCCATATACACGGTGTGTAAAACAAAATAAATATAGAGTAAAACGAGGCTATTCTGTCAGTTTCAATTTTAAAATTTATTGAAAATTTATTGAAAAATAATGCACACCTTTCCATTAACGTGTTTATAATTGCGTTATATAAATATGATTGTTTCCTGAAAACATAAGCGTGATCTTCAAATGTTGAATATGTTCAGAAAGATAAATATTATCGCTGACTCATTGACAAAAAAGCCCCACTCTACTTTATGTATATCTATATGTATTTTTTTTAGAGAATTTAAAATAATTCAAAATTGAAATAAACTCAGCAAAGAAATATCTTTAAGCAAAATTTAAATCATGCATTTTTTTTAACATAAGAAAGTAAAACTTTAATTTTTGTGAAGTAAATATTTTTTATAAACGCATTTTTTATATTTCTATTAAAATAAATTTTTTTTACATAAAAAAAGACATTTAAAAAAAAGACAGTTGTTTTTAAATTAATTGCAACATAACTAAATTTATCAAAAGAGAAATAATCATTCTCAAATGAAATAAAGATTTACAAAGCTGATTGTCCGATTAAAACATAGTTCTTATGCACTGATGCTTTTTTTATCCAAATAAGTTATTCATGTGTCTTTTTACAGATGCATGTACATAAATGCTCACAATTATAACTAGCATTTGTGTACATGCGAAAATATATTCAAAAAAGTATATATACTATAATACAATATTAGTATAATAGTATTAAGTGTTTAACAAAGTGCAAATTTGTATCGTAAATGGAATAAATTCTATAAACTTAGTAACATATATATGGTTTAAAAGTTAAAATATTTGCTAATATCGGCGCTTTGCAATCAAAATTCACGTGTATTCGTCTTCCTATCATATATATTGATTGATTGATTTATATATATATATATAAATCAAAATAAGAAAAAGAAAAAATATATATTCTTTTTCTTATTTATTTTTAAAAATACAATTCTTAAATAAATATATTTTTAAGATATTTTAGAATATTCTAAAAGGATATCTTAAACAAGATATTTTTTAGATAATTTTGTTCGGTTTTTCAATATCAATAGCACTTTCTATGAAAATCATCAAAAATATATTCACGATCAGCAAATGAAATTCACGTTATTGAATAATATCAAATAATTATTGTACAGGACATTCCTGTCATAAACAAGTTTGCTTGTCTCGTATTATAAATAAGAAAAAAAATTTGGATTTTATTTATTTAAATAGACAAATTCTTTTAATTAAATAAATAATTACAAGCATGATCACCATACAAATTATCAATTGTCGATTCCGAACTTAATTCAAAAGTAAATTTCAATTTTAAGGCTCGGCTCACTCGCGATCCGAAATGGATTGTGTGACGTTAGAGGCGAGAAATGATGTGCAAAAAGTTTTTTGCGCTGTATAACTTTATTTTGTACTTTTCCCTTAAAAATATAACCTTTTCATATTCTTAAAACTTGTAAAAAATATCAAAAGATAAGATATTTAATCCAATAGATTACGTAAAAATGTAAAATAATTTTTGAAATAATCTCACTTCTCAACTATCAAAAGCAACTAGATCTAGTAATTTGGTGATTATTTTTTACAAGTTTTAATGAAAATATCATGTTTTTAAAGGAAAAGTACAAAATAAAGTTATACGGCGCAAGAAACATTTTGCATGTCACCTCTCACATATCGTGCCGCGAAAGAGTCAAGCTTTAAAGTTGAGAAATGAGTAATCATTCCTTCGAGACTCGGCCCAACTCAAAAATGAAATTTCGGGTAAAATAAATATAATTATACTTAATGTCTATGTCCATAATACGCGAGTGTAGCCATTAGTTGCCTTCATCAATAAATTTAACACAACTTTGTACAATAATTGAATCCGAATAATATGTAATAATTAATCAATTAATTTTAATTCATTCAGTTCAATTAAATTTTTCCAACGAATTACTAGTTTCAATCCTTTGACTACAATCTTTAATCTCACGAACTCGATTTCAGTGATCCTTACTTTTTATTCTATAAGATGTTCTAAAGAGGGGATGTTGCTCAGAAAATAATATTTATTTTAAGCTAATATTTCATTTATCGCAATGATAAATCGTATGATAAATATTTTGAATATTGATTTGTTATAGAACTTTTCAAGTTTTTAGAAATTTTATTTTTAATATTTTGTAACCAATAAGCACATTCAAAAAATTTGTCATACGATAAAATACGATGAAATATTCATCTCGAAAAGATATTAATCTAAGCAATCGATTGCCTTACGACAATCTCGCTTAAGCTTTTAAAAACGAGATCAAAAAGTAATCGAATAAATTGTTTTTATATCAAATAAAATTAAAAGTTTACAGCTCATAAACTGTACTAAAAATGCAAGCTCAGCTATTTCTTTTTTTTTATTCATCTCTTTCTTATCTCTCTTCCTCTTTCGTGTTCACTCGCACTCATTCATTCACGCGTTCAGTCACTCATCGTTTAATCTAGATATCGTTTGTTTTGTGTAGTTTACAAACTAGACCATAATGCATAAAAAACATAAGCAATAGAATTAAGCAATAAACAAATCGTCCAGTTTTCAAAATCCTCGATTATAAGTTGTACTCAACTTTTACGATTTATTTATCTTTAACTTCTACGACTTATCCTCCTGTGCTATGGTCGTAATAAGAATCTAGCAAATTTCGCGATTCATTATCGATGCATTCGGAGATAGTCACATATTGCGCATAGACACATATTTCACAAAAAAGTTAGCGTAATAAATAAAAGACATAAAAAAAGAAAAGAGAAATGCAGACGTAACATATTACAAAACATTACTCTACGCTGCGGCATATTTTCCAATAAATCAGCACCTTCTTCTTCATGTGGACAGGTACAATCGATGGTAGTCGTTGGCGCCAAAAGCGCAATTGCATTTCGGACACTTTCGCTGCCGTGTCTCATAACGTGTACGCAAACAGTCCCAACAAAATACATGGAAGCACTTAGTCAGCACGGCATCCTTACGCTTCACTTTACAAGACGGACACGTTAGAGTTTCCTTGTATTCCCGTAACTCCTCCGCCATCACTTCATCTAAAGTTTCAGCGAGCTCGATCTTTTTCATACGCTCGACTTTGCGCCTGAGCTGTGCTATCTCCTCCTGTAATTCGTGTATTAAATTTATAATATTTCTATTAAAGATTTAGATTATTGATGACTTTTAAAGCGATTTTTATATGAAGGAATCCAGAAGAAAAAAAGAAATATAATTAGTGTAAAATTAATTGTTATACCTGTAATCTTTTAGTTTTATATGCTTCAGCTTCCAAGGAACTTGTCTTTTCTGCTACAACTTGTTGCGCTTCCTTCATTTGAGAATGATATTTCTCTGTAACATAATAAAAGCCACGTCAATCTTTTGCTGAAAGTAATCGTTTATTATTAAGTCATTTTTTTCATTTATTTTTTAGCTAACAATAATAAGCATTGTAAACGCTTTGAATTTCAAGATATTTATTTTAGCTTTTTTACGACCGCATTTTTGAGTCTCACCAAGATGAAGTTTGAGATCAGCAGCCGATTGTGCACTCTCTATAGCTTTCCGTTTGTGCATCTCCATTGCCTGCTGTCGCAATGCCAATTCTTTTTCCACCGTTGCGAGAGAGTTTTGTAAGAGACGCTCTTTCTCTTCTAACTTTCGTACGACTACATTGGCCGCTTCTACCTGTGTCGTTAATGTGGACACTTGCTCTTTCAATACATCCTTTTCCTCCCTTGCGAGTTTGTGCAACTGATTACTTTTGATTCTCTCCGTCATTAACTTGAAATTTGCATCATCTTTCTCGCGAAGCTGCTGTATCAGCCTAGAGTTTTGTTCCTGCATGTCTTCAAATGCTTGTCCAGTCACTTCCATTTCATTCAGAAGCGCTTCTTCCTCCTGTAATCATGACATATAATTTTGTTTAACGTTACACTTGTTCGTATATGACTAAAATCTGTCTGGTTTAAACATTATATAAAAATTTCTATAAAACAAACAACAAAATAATTCTCAAATTAAATTTCATATAATTAGTTCCATTCCTAATTAAGATCTTAATCTTTGAATATTTATCAAAGACTAAAAGAGAATAAATAAAAGAATGCAGAAAGTTTATGAAATGAGAGCTACCTGTTTTTGGCAAGCGACTTGACGTTGTAATGTATACGCTTGTTCCTCTAGTTTCTTAATTTTTATCTGCGCATCTTCATCGGCTAACTTTTTACGTTCTTCACGTTTGCTTTCCTGCAAAAGCATAATATAATTCATATTATTAGTATTTAAATAATTACAAAAACATAGTATTTAAATAATTCTCACTGGGTTAATATAAATCTCAGATATCTGTATAGTATTAACAATATTAAAACTGTTATAAAACTGTTACAAAAAGGTTTAAGGCTTCTAACTACTCAGTTAAGAACTTTGCGTTGACAGTAGGCCTGTTCTTTTTGGCTGAACCGATTGTACTAGTTCATAGTTTATCTTTCTTTCTTACACTGGAAGAAAAAAAGATAAACTCTGAACTAGTGCAAAAAGAACAGACCCAGTGGCGACACAGCGTCGCGATAAAAATTAGGAGCTTATTCATTCTTGTTCATCTTGTCTATTCCTTGTCATTGCCCATCTTTATATTAAGTAACATGCTGATAACAAAATTTTTTATTATACCTAATCTCGTTATTATGTATTTAATCATGCAGATGTGACTTATCTCGTACTTATCAAATTCATAAAAATGGACGGCAAAATTACCTTTGAATTTTATATGTAAAAGCATATTTTTCACTTTCAACAGCTGTCAAACCGTGTGAATTTCTGTCTGCAGCTGTAAGCTTTATTTCATGTGCCTTTTACGGATATTTATTGACTATCAGGTGGGAAAAGAATAGTAGCTGCCCTTTTTCACAAATGTCTTAAAGCCATCTCAAGAATCGTTTTATTTAAAATCTTTTTATTTGTAAATTACGTGCAATAAATTTCACTATGCCATTTTCTCGCTTATGATATCACAATTCCAATACTGCCGATTAATCAGAAGCCTTAAGACCCTGCGTACAATGGAAGAAATATTAGGAATAGGAATATTAAATTTTAGAAATAAAAATTCAGAAAAATTAAAGGCATAATGAATACAAGCATAAGATAAAATATAACTATATTTTATACTTATTTATATTGATTGGCAATACATTTAATTTTTACTCTGAATTTACGATTTCCAAAATTTAATATTTATTTCTGTTCCTAATATTTGCTCCATTGTGCGCAGGCCCTAATTCTAACTCAAACTAATTTCTTTCTTCAACTAAATAATATTATACTATAATTATCGTGAATATGTAGACACATAAATACACATACGCGCGTATGCGCGCATACACACACACATGCTTCATCTTTATTTTATTCGTATATTATATCAGTGCTTGTCAAAATATGCAACTTTTCGCCGATTTTTAAGGTAGATCGCTTTCCTTTATCTTTCCATGCTAACGAACTAACAAATAATTGATGCTAAAAATCGTGTCGCGCTCTGATTGCATTTTATTTCAAGTGTGAGATATATAACGTATACTGATTTAGTGTCAAAATCGTCATTAAAAATTTGGCATTAGCTTACACTTGAAATATATCATTTATGATACATCATTTTTGAAGCAGAGCGTCGCGCGATTTATGATATGACTTATGACCGATCATCTGCATTTAGCTCATTATCACAATTTCGAGAGATAAACGGAAGTGGTAGGTGTCTACTATACTAAAAATCATTCGAAAATTGCACATTCTGATAACTAAGTTATATCATATTATATATATATATATATATATATATATATATATATATACATATACATACATACATACAGGATAATTCAAAATAATCCATGTCCTTCAAAAGACATATTTCTAATTGTATTCTGACTTTCCTTTGGCAAAAGTTTGTCTGAGGCTTAATTTCTAAATTATAAAGAGAAATACTTAGCGTATTATAGGTCAGGTACAGGAGGTAAGCAAGGGTGGGACAACTCATTGTTACATGCGGAAGAGGCGCCTATCGCGATCAGCTGATATAGAGTCAACACAAAATAGAGAGAGTACATGCATAAAGAGAAATAGCGTATTGTAGGTGTACATACATACTTATGCATACTTATATAAATACCCGCATGTAATGGTGAGTTGTACCGCCTCTGCTTACCTCCTATATCTGACACCTACAATATGCTATTTCTCTTTATAACTTAAAACCAAGCTCCAGACAAACTTTTTGCTTAAAGGAAATCATCTCAGAATACGATTAGGAATATGTCCCTTGAAGGACATTATTTTAAACTCTGTATGTATGTATGTATGTATGTATATATGTATGTATGTATGTATGTATGTATGTATGTATGTATG